GTGCCACCATGCCCAGCTAATTTTGTGTATTTTTAGTAGAGACGGGGTTTCACCATGTTGACCAGGATGGTCTCGATCTCTTGACCTCGTGATCCACCCGCCTTGGCCTCTCAAAGTGCTGGGATTACAGGTGTGAGCCACCACGCCCGGCTGCCTCCTTTTCTTTTGCTGAAATATCTCTCCCCAGAGGACTCAGATTCTGCTCTAGCAAGATGATTCCCAGGAGGATTATCTGTCTTTTTGCATTATCTACATTAATGCATTCCTCCTATATTTTTTTCTCCCTCCCTGCCTCCCTCCCTCCCTTCCTCCCTTTCTTCCTTCCTTCCTTCTTTTTTTTTTTTAAAAAATAGAGATGAGGTCTTGCCATGTTGCCTAGGCTGGTCTCAAACTCCTGGACTCAAGTGATCCTCCCTTCTTGCCCTCCCAAAGTGCTGGGATTACAGGTGTGAGACACCATGCCTGGCCACATTCTTCTTGTATTTCTGATAATCAAGAATTAACTATAATGTCCTACTTGATCTGACTCCTGCTTACCACTCCAACTTCGTACTAGGTCCTCTTCCTGGTATTCATTCCTACTGGCCTGTTTGCCATTCGTAAAGTATGCCGAGCTTATTACCACTGTATGGCCTTTGTCTTTGCTGTTTTTTCTTCCTGGAATCTCTTTTCCCCTTATTTGAACAACTCATTTTTTTTTTTTTTCCCGCTACCTTGAATATCATCTTCCTAGAAAGGCCTTCTCTGGCCACTCTTTATAAAATAGTGGCTTCTTCCTGACACTTCATCGTTCTTTTTCCTTTTACCTTGCTTTATTTTTCTTCATAGCTTTTTTTTTTTTTTTTTTTTTTTTTTTTTTTTTTTTTTTTTTTTTTTCTTTAGAGACAGGGTCTCATTATGTTGCCCAGACTAAAGTGCAGTAGCACAATCATAGCTCACTGCAGCCTTGAACTCCTGGGCTTAAGGGATCCTCATCATTTTTTTACTACCGAACATAGTACATATTTGTGTGCTTTGTCTCTCTCCTCAGCTTGAATATGAGCTTTATGAGGACAGGGTCTCATTTGCTGCTATATTTACAATGTTTAGACTTTTTCTTAGCATATTGTAGGTACTCAGCTATTTATTAAATGAGTGAATGAGCAAGTATAATTTCCCACATATTTCTTAAATTCCTGCATGAACTAAGAGGTCACTTACCTCTTTTATACTTTGTTTTTACATGTTTTTTCCTTATATTTCTGGTAATAGCATGACAATACTTAAAATAAAAAAAAAAATTTACTAGAGACATGGTTTTGCCATGTTGCCCAGGCTGATTTCCAACTCCTGTGCTCAAGAGATCCTCCTACCTCTGCCTCCCAAAGCACTGGGATTACAAGTGTGAGCCACTGTGCCTAGGCTAGATATATATATATATATATATTTTTAAATTTATTTTATTTTATCATGCCCGGCCTGGGCTAGATATTTTTTTTCTTAAAGAAAAGATTATTGGCCTGGTGTGGTAGCTCATGCCTGTAATCTCAGCAGTTTGGGAGGCCAAGGCGGGCGGATCACCTGAGGTCGGGGATTCAAGACCAGCCTGGCCAACATGGTGAAACCCTGTCTTTAAAAAAAAAAAAATTTTTTTTAAATTTTTAAAATTTCAATAGTTTTGGGGGTTACAAATGGTTTAGTTACATGCAAGTTCTTTTTTTTTTTTTGAGAACTGTGCTGCTACAAACATGCTTGTGTAGATATCTTTTTCATATGACTTATTTTCCTTTGGATAGATATCTAGTAGTGGGATTGCTTGAATGATAGTTCTATTTTCAGTTCTTAAGGAATCTCAATACTGTTTTCCATAGTGCTTGTACTAATTTGCATTCTTACAAGCAGCTTAAATTGTTCACTTTTTGCTACATCCACACCAACATCTATTATTTTTTGACTTAAATTATGACCATTCTTGTAAGAATGAGGTGATATCTCATTGTGGTTTTAATTTGCATTTCTCTCATGATTAGTTATGTTGAGCATTTTTTCATAGGTTTGTTGGCTGTTTGTCTGTCTTCTTTTTTTTTTTTTTTTTTT